GTCCAATTAAGTTCAGGAGACCACTTTAAACATATTTGTCGAACGTGTCTGTTGCATAGACATCCCAGTTCCCGCTCTTATTGATTAGTCTTCCATCATCCATGTACCACAAAAGTTTAGTTTGTTATTATTTACACTTAGACCAAATAATTCTATAATTTTAGATGTTTGATATAAGCTCGTCCGGAAGCCATTCAATTCCGTGTTTAAACAGAGCAGTTCGCTTTGTAATTGTTATATTTACCCTTTGTGTAATGCATGTGAAACCATTGTAAATATTTGAACCTATTGCTCTGAAAATCGTGCACAAAATAATGTATTTCAATACTGCGGAAGGAAGCACTACAATTCAAAGGGAATGTATTCTACAAATTATAGAGCTATGTGAATGTCATATTACAATTCATCGTCACCATATTGTTTTTTAAAGTAGCAAAACCACACCACAACAACGCACATTTCCGGAGGTACGAGTATATTCCACCAGGACTGGTGTCATCAGCTTTTGATACTCACCCGTCTCTACTCGCGCAAATATGTAAACATATAAAACAAAAGGGAAACGAAAGACGAAAGAGTAAATCTAATACAAAAAAAAAGGAATAAAAAGTGTCTATAAACAGATTCCCCTTACAGTGAAGGGCCTTAACTGACGAGGGGCAAAGAAATTTGATTTTCTTCAATTACCGCTAGGGGGCGAACAAGCGCTCCGAAGCAGAAAGACGGCTTTCGACATTTTTGAAGAATCGAAACCGTAGTGTCCAGTTACCAGATCGCCCGTGTACACACGAAACAAGACAGCGCCATGAATTCCATTGACTATGCAAAATTTCGAGATTAGAAAGTACATTTGCAGCAAATAATTACCTAATTTCTGGCACTTGTTTACTTTCTGGTATTCTTTAGTTTTTTATTATCACAGCCTACTCCGATATATAAACATATAATTAATTAATGGGTAGGTATTTTTGTGAAAAATATTAAATAACCTAAAAACTATGGGGTTAAAGCACAGGACATCCCTTATAAAAATTGAAGAGAACACAAAAGACAATCGATTAGCTAAATAAAATAGTGATAGTTTCATTTGAAAAAGAATAGTTTGAACAAATGACATTGAAATAAGTAAAAATATATAGGATGTTCTATTTAAAAAAATCAGTTACCTATTTATTGAGACCGTAAAAATGGGACACCCTCTACATTCAAAAATCTATGACATAGGGGCGTAGGGAGGCAGAGAGGGGCAGAGGGGGCGCTTGCCTCCCCCCATATTTTATACTGGGGAAGTAAAGATTGTATTTTGCCCCTCCCCCCATCATTTAGTTGTATTTTTTTAAATTTATATGTGAAATTAATATTCTAACTAATTTTTTAATTATTTTCTTAATTCTCGAACCCAAAGTAAATTTGAATCTGCCTGCTCTCGCCAAAATATTTTATAAATACAACATTTGTACTGTTCATAAGGCTATTTACTGATAGTACTGAGGATGTGCGATAAATGTACGTCGGGTACACGTACATGGCTAGAATGGGGAAAATACTGCACTTTTTGAATGGAATATGCCACTTTCTGCGGTAATAGTTAATACCAAAAGGCAACTTTTGAGATAGGGAGCCACTCGAAAATCCGTGCAGGAAACCAAAATGGTGGCCGTCAAAATGGCGCCATTAGCCGCAATATATTTTTTGTATCTCTGCTCCCAATAGTCCGATTTTAATTTTCTTTTTTTGATTGAAAGCTCTTGTGACGAGGAAACTTTTTTGTTATATAACATTTATCTTTAAAACTTAAGGACCCTGTATATAACCAAATACTCTTTAAAAACTGGGAAATTTTGTAAATTGTAACTTTTGGCTTTTCCATTTCAATAGGATGCCGACACCTGTACTAAGGACATACGACACATATACCCGGGCAAAAAAACGTGGCGGCTGATGTCCTCTCGAGGATCGATGAAGTAACCTCAACAATCGAGTATCAGGCACTCGCAAATTCCCAAGAGACAGATAAAGAATTGGAGAAATTCAAAGTATCTGAATCCGGCCTGCAACTAAGAAAAATCTCACGTCCGGGAAGTACCAAGGAAGTATACCGCGACGTTTCAACCACCAGCCACACACCTGCATTTCGCCAAGCAGCTTTCAACCCGGTACATCAGCTGTCGCATCCAGGAATTAAATCTACTTTTGTATGACGTCGCGCACCCAGTGTCAGCACGCCAACACCATCAGTGATCGACACGTAGTTCGATGCTGCGTCACGACACTTTGAACCCGTTCACATCGACGTCATCATCATGCCTATCTGTAAGGGTACCGATATTGCCTAACGTGCGTCGATGCAATCACTCGCCGGCTAAAAGCATACCTACCCAACCCAATGGAAATTCACCGTACCGCTACCGTAGCCCAAATTTTCTACCACAGACTAGATATCAAGATTCGGAATCACTACCGACGTCAACTTCAGTCGAATCTGTTCAAAGAAATTTGCAATTTGACATACAATTCACCTAAGGACAACCGGATGTCATCCCCAATCCAACGGCATGGTAATGACTTAATGAGGCTACAACGCCAACTTAAATCCGCCACCATATCATTTTTAGGGGAATTTTTTGAATGAAAAAATCCCCTTTTGTGATGGTTTTGTTCGTCCGTCAATCAATTTCGAGTTCGAGTTCAAAGATCGATGCTATTGAATATGAGCGGGATTAAAAGTCGCATTTCCGAATGCAAGCTGAGTGTCAAAAAGTCCCTTTCGGCTCGGCCGATCAGATGTAGGTAGATTTCTTTAACCGCATTAACATATAAGTGTCCGCCATTTTGTTTCAATATAGCGGAATTGGCTGATTCACGAACTTGACCGAGATATTTATGAGTTACACCAACCCCTAAAATTTGATCGAAATCGGTGCATAGTTATGAAAATTAGAGTGTTTCTTGGAAGTGATATATAATACTGGTTCCACTACTGAATATCGTATGCGACTAAGTATCTTGTTTTATTTTAGTAAGTAATTGCCCAATTCTCAAAGGTAGGTTTGTTCGTTTTTTCGAAATAAACGGTGCTGACAGATTGTTGTACATGTCGACTAGATCAAAGTACGGACTTATTTGTCAGCCAGGCAATATTTCCACAGTAAAGCGTAATGTCACTAATAGATTTTGAAACGATGCAGATAATTTGAGCGAAGCGAAATTGCTAATTTTATTGTTGTTGTCATCTACCTGTATGTGTGTTCTGCTCCAAATTGTTCGTATTCTACGCCGCATTTCAATAGCACTAGAGTAAAATTAGTTACAATATGTGAAACATTACGTATTGTTCGTTACAATACCTATCAGTTGAACTGACGAGTCATTAGGCTTGCTTTGTAAGCCCATTACATATAATACATTATTAAAACGTAGTGCTAGGTAGATTTACATGCGATTGAAATGCCTGTAAAGGTATATTGAGAGAATTGAGAAAGAGAACGCCGATCTGATCGTGTTTGGACATGATGGCTTCATTGGACAAGATGTCGCTCTTTGGAAGTGTTTTATTAATACTAACCGTAATTATTTCCTCGAAATAATTTTATTGTGAAACATATTATTAAGAGAGTTGTAAAAGTTTTCGTCGATAAGCAATAAATTTTGTTATTATGGCAGTCGGAACTTTAAAAGAAGTATCAAAATTTGAAGTAAAACTTTGATTAAGTGTCATTGTGGAAACTTGAATAGGACCATTAATTCCAAATAGTTCAGCCGTTGCGTTTTTAACTTTCGACAGCAGGTAATAATAGTCTAGGAATTACCACAGTACTGTTACCACCCCATAGATTTATACTGCCGCAATTGCAACGCTTTCGACAATTTAAATTCCCAAAAATTAAAACTTTTGTTTTGGAAAACTGGTTCAGAAGTAGGATTATTAAATAATTATTATGATTCATGGATTTAGGATCTGTATTTTTATACCCGCATAATGATCCTTTTACCTAAACTCCTAATAGGCACAGCCCTTCACTTTCACTGGCAAATAATAACGAAAGCTCTGTAGTATCATGTTGCGGAAAACATAATTACTAAAATGGAATACAGAAAACAGTTTTTAAATATGATTGTTTCCGTTGTTATTTGAATTTTAAATTTTAGTAACTCCATGAAAGTAGATGTGGTACATTCCACGATTTTACGCGGCACTTTCATCAGATTCCTTCTTTGAGCATTTCTAAAGGAAAGCTACAACCCCGCAACTTTTAACAAAAGCGGCTGATGCTTCACAAATACATACATAAAATTTGATTTTGGCTGAACGTCAGCTATGATTTTTATGTCACCCTTTCGTAAGAATTTTTGGCATACTTCACCAACGGAAAAAATGACTTCTCTCTATAAATTTAATTAGTTTCGGCATATTTCAACGATTGTAGTTTTACGAGAGAAGTTCGATTAGAACCAACGAAGTATTATTACCTCGTTTGCGGATTACGTACCAAACTTTAATAAAAGTCCTATAGAAAAAGCAACAAATACAACGTGTTTTTAGATGATCCACAAGAAAAAGGAATTCAATATATATAGCAATACCGTTATATGAGCTCATAAATTTTTGCTACTTATATTTTCAATTTTTTTCGGAATTCCTGTCAGTGTAAATGGGCTCTTTTTATTTTTATCAATAGAAATGCAATACATTCCAGGATGAGTGTGTATAATAAGAACCATATAAGAAAATGACAGCTATTCCTTTCGACATGAACATGAAAGGTGTGATTGGCTCGACTTCAATGCGAATTACATCGTTTAATTTAGGGCTCATCTCATCTTCCCTTCTGAGTAGATTACATTTCATTTTGCACAGACCCTCCATCGCTAATGGTAATGAGCAATTTTTACTTCTTCAATTTACAGAAAAACAAACATCAGTTCCTTTGGATAGTGTAATTTGAATTATTCTTTGAATGTAATGTAACCCCTTGAAATTAGGTAACAAAATTACTTACCCTTTATAATATGCTTTCCTTATCCATGTACCTGAAATTTAAAAATCATATTAGATTTTCTGTTTCACGCACCGCCCACTGATTATGACCGGGGGGTTGCTTTTGTAACTTCCTTTCGTAAGTACGGTTCGCCATTTTTGTTTCAACCATGCTCTAATTTATTACTTCAAAGTATTCATTAAAAACAAAGCGCCCCACAGTCACAAATAGCGTGGAGATAAATTAACATGTTCTAGTTACGATCCTATCGGATATTGTTAATGATCTTTAATTTGTCTAGCACCAGAGCTGTAATTAGCCGTTTAATTACACAACAGTAAGCAAGTAACAATCACTTATGTGTACATCCAATTTAAGTCTAGTGCCTATTCACTCCACTCCGCGCAAATAAACAAGAAAATGGAAGTTTCGTTATATCTAAGCTAACATTTTCATGAGCGCTGAACTATACCTATGTTAATTGCACGTGCAGCAATCTGGGGAATAAGTATCAATTATTATAACAATTAATTTTTAATCGCTGCCGTAAAAATTGAGAATAAAGTCGCCTCTTCTCCACCCTTAACGCATCAAATGGACCTGCCAAATTCCGATAAGTTATAAAATTTGTTGACACATTTTAAATTTACCTTGGCGCTTACTAAGATTTATCGGGATGCTATTAATTTAAGGTAGCCCGAGAATTTAATTGGACCCGCTCTAACTTTCCTAAATTAGAATTTCACTTGCTTGTTAAACAATAAATTCAGTTGTGTCTTAGTTACATTTCTACCGAATGAAATTCATCAACAAAACGAGGCAGTATACTGTACAACGCAGAATACGTGTACGCATTTATCAACACGCATCCTCAAGTATATACGCCCAAGTTTATCTCGCTGGTAGTTCTTTAAGAGTAAAAGATTACTGGCAAGATTTTCTTGTTTTTAAAATTCCCTGTGGGACCATAGGTGAACATGTTTCTAATGTTGGGGTTAATGTGGAAATAAAGTTAAATCTTTCTAATTTTGCCGTTTCGCGTTCTTCGAGAGCTACAGAAAAAGGATATTAGTTGAGTAATTTATTATCTAGAAAATTTAAAGGAAAATCAAGATAACTTTTACAAAAGAATAGGTGCATTCAAGGTGAAAAATAAATATAAATCTCCAAGTTACAACCCCCTCAATACTGAATTTTCTAAAAAACTTCTGAAAAATGGCAGTTCTAGGGTTGGTTATAGATTATTTAAACATTCGGCCCTGTGATGTACCAGAAACCTCAAACTTAACGTACAGGTTATCTACCAAACAAGTTGTAAATCAGCATATGCATGATCAAACCGCATTTTTGGTAATATAGATCAGTATTTTATTAGCAAAGTTTAATTATAGGTCTCACGAGGAATCTAACTCAAAATACACTAGAGCCGACCATCTACACTATAGCAGAAAGCTTTTAGTGAAAATTTGAAGTCTCTAGCTATTGTAATTGCTGACATCTCAGCCGGACAGCTAGCCAGCCAACACAGCCAGCCATAACGAACTTATAGCGTATTCTTTTCGCTATTTTGCGTTGAAAACGTATGTATGATAAATGCAGTTTTCTACATGTTAGCGTTAAACCATTGGTTAAACCCAGCTTGAATAAATCTTTCGAGAAATCTTCCATCATAATAATCCTGTAATTTGTGTTCTAGGGAAAGCGAAAACTAACAATGTTTAATACAAATGTTGCCTATATTTCGAATGAATAATAATTACTTGCCAGTGTGACATTCCTCTCTTAGGATATGTGGGTTGGAGCCAATTAAAGAATTCTTAGTGCGTCTTACGAATATTAGCCGATTCCTAAAGAGGTCACAGATATTCCTCGCAAACTGACCTGGGATGACAAGTGAACATGCGGTTGTAGGGATCTTTAATATCCATAAATATTGGCCCAGGTAATCGTTTTTACTAACACAGATTTGTCTGTTACCAGATCTGCCAGTGCGTCCACCATTCCTTTATCAAAACGAAACAAAGGACTATCCTCCCTATTTGGTTTGAGGATAGGCACCACAACAATTTTCTTCAATCCTTCCACCATGTTATGCTCAGTCTAAATATCATTAAAGCACTCCAGTTATAGCAATCCTTACCCCGTTATTGATAAGAGATGCAGCATCGAATACGTGATGTCGTCCACCCCTGGCACTGTGTTGTTGGATTTTTCCATCGCGTGTCAGTATTAGTTCAGTTTGAAAAGGGCCGGGATAGAAAATGGTTGCACCGATCAAATTGATCGGGTCTTGGTACCGTTGGCACATGTAAGTTTTTATAAAAAATCGGAAATCCAAAATTCCTCGCCAATAGCCTTACCACGCCATACACCTTTGAACGTTCTAATATGCTTCCCGAATTCCGAAATTGGTAAAATACTGGTGATGTTCTGGCAAAAATCTTTCCACTTTTTCCGTTTCCTGTACTAGGAATCGCTTTATGTATGCAAGATCTTTTTTACACTGAATAAAATTTTCAGATTACCACGTTCAAGCCCCTATTGTATAATTTCGTTGGGTATCTAATGTGATACGTTCGATAATACAATCCGCTTTGCCGCAGAGAAAACAATCACTTGTTCTTTTTGTGGGAATTCAAATTTCGTTTGTAGTACGGACGAGGATGTAGAATCAGATACGTTGATAGAGCTGCTATCTCCATGACCAGAAATAGCGCTAATCTTTTGCGTATTAGACAAAAGACACAACACGACCCTTCTCCGGCTCGAGACCGGAGAAGGAAAGCTCCTCTCTCTAAACTAACCAACGATAGTTGCACGTTACACCGATATCGGAAAATTTCCAATTTCCAGAAATCGAAATTAACTAATAGACACAGCTTATGACAAAAAAAAGCACTTATAATATCTTAATAATCCCGCGTCGTCCAAGAATGGTACACATGATAACCCCAAGGAATTCGTGTAAAATTCCCTTCGACACTTATATACTACATCTCCACCGATCACTACGAAAACACACCTTTCCCTCGTGCTCTCTCGGTAAACACTGTACCGTTGATTGATAAATATATATCAAACATTGACTGTACTATGAAGGTCACAACTAGGGAATGCAATACCGGGATTCCGAAATACCGGGATCCCGCAGCATTTTTGCGAGATTAATCCCGCACATAAATGGAGCGGGATCCCGCGGGATTTGCGGGACTGAGGAATTTGTCGACCAAGGGGACGACTCTGTTTAGTCTGTTAATGAAACTGATAACGGCGAATTACTTTTTAAATAATTGTTAAACTTTTTACGTTAAAAATGTACTATGATTTTTAAGGCACTTTAGAAGACTTTTTGTGCTTTACAGGTAAGGTTTTTTTGAGTTCTAAGTTAAGCCGAAGGTACTTTTTTGTTAAATATTGTGATAATTAGCGATTTATTTTAATACAAAAGTTAACCGCACAGAATTGCTTATTTGCCAATTTATTTAAAGTTTTGCGAGATCCCGCAAATTCCGGGATCCCGCGGGATTAACATCTAACACTCCCGTAAATACCGGGATTGAAATTTAGCTGCGAGATTGCATTCCCTACTAGAAACCAATTTCGAAAGAAAATTCAAAGGGCTGTAACTTTTGAACTAGTGGCCCAATCTTGTAGCTGTTTGAAATTATGGATTCTACAGGTCACATTCTATAAGAAATTTTTTTTCTGGCCGATCTGAGACAATTTTTTCTTTCGAGCGAAAAAAAAGGCAGTGTATAACCTTCCTTTTTTACCAAAAATCGACTACACCAAAATGTCTCGGGAAAACACTTTTTCGTATTAATTTTGGTGCGTAGAATCCAAAACGATTCGTACTTTTTCAATTAGACGTCTCAATCAAAAGTTATAGACTAGCATCCAATTTCGTAAAAAACTTCAAAGGGCTGTAACTTTTGAACTAGTGGCCCAATCTTGTAGCTGTTTGAAATTATGGATTCTACAGGCCACATTCTATAAGAAAAATTTTTTCCAGGTCGATCTGAGACCTTTTTTACCAAAAATCGTCTCATCCTTAATACAGCAATTGAAATGGCATCAATTCAACCATCGGTGATTATTGTGGGCGAAGATATAAATTAGTTCTATTAACTGTACTCGCTCAATCCGCCAATATTTAAGTAAATGAAGGAGATCTACAGATCTACTTACTCACCCTTTGATCTTGAAAAAAACACAGTGGCTACAAATATACTATTTTTATACGCTTTCCGCGGCTGTGACTCTACGTCTGTGATTTTTGGCCACGGTCCAGCTTTTCGAGAGTCCGAAAACACGGAAGATTTGTCAGATTAGTCGTTTCTAAACTTCCTTTTTGGTCTTCCTTCAACGATGGATCAATCAATCTACTTTAAAAACGTGACTTTGAAACAAATTAAATCTTTTTCGCGCATGAACCTAATTTTCAGCAGTGACATGGATAAACATGGGCCATCAACTGCAGTTAAACGGTAAAGAGTACTTTAAACTTTTTTTTAAAATAATTTAATTTATGTTTAGTAATAAAAGTCTATATTTTTGAAATATATGTGGATGTGTTCTTAATTCTGAACTTGTCTGAAAATAGGTGGGGAAAGTTGGAGGTTGAGGGTTGACTTCCAGATACTGAAAAATATGAGAGATTAAAGGAGGGAGGGGGTTAAAACGAAAGGTAAAGCGGTTGGAGGGAGAGCGAACACGAACTCCGTGCGAAGTGCGCGTGAATCGCCAATGAGGATAGTTCAACGTACGCCAGCGCCCCCTACGTGCGTAGTCGTAAACATGTTTTAGGACGTTTTTGGTTGCATACTATATTACATTTCAAATTTGTAGGTATTTTATTCGTGAAACCACAAAAAAACGATTTCTTAACATATTTTTTCTGTTTTTCAAGATTTGGGAGGGTTGGGGAGGGAATTTTTGGTGGGAAGTTAAAAATTTGGATTCAGCAACCCAAAAAACATAAAGTAAGCCTATTTCCAGAACTACCATTAATTTTGCAAGCTAAGGCCCTCATATGTCCTGGACTAGTAAGCT